TGTCACTCAAGTTACAATTTTAGAGTATAACTCTAAGAATTGTTTTTGGAACAAAGTATGACTCATCTTCTTGATTTAACCATTTCAACAATTCAAGATTCCTCTTCTTAGTCATAAGAATGCGCTAAGATTCCTTTAGAGAAATAATTGTGCTATGGTTTCTTAATCATTAAGATGATCACAAAACTGATACTAAAGTACTCTCTCATCGTTTCAGATTTGAGAAACTTTTATCTTTCTGCCTAAGTTGATTCATCTTATTCGCTCTGCCTTATATTGGAACCTTTTCCAATGTCTCAGAGTTACACTTAAGCTTGTAAGTATAATCATATTTACTGAGCTTTAGTAAACTATGATGAATAGTCTCATAGATTAATTGTGGTGGACTTAACCAGTGCACAAGAATGTGTACTCGATCCCTTAGTCCTTTACTTGACTCACACACCCATGTGAACAAGTAGTTAGTCTTAATTTTTCTAATGCTTGAAAGTTCTTATCCATCATGCTATACAACTTGCATGATTCCAAGTTTCAATCCAATTGAAACTTGGGTGATGAGAATCTTTCCTTATTTGGTAAATTTAGACATTACCACAAATGAAAGAATCGATTTCATATTTCCACTCTTGCTATTAATGGAATCTTATAAGCAACATCAGAAATTTTCCTTTTATTTTAAAAACTTTATGGAAGAATTTATCCTTACAATCCATATGAAAACTTGTTGTTATCTATTCCTAAGCAACATCTCATAACTCCTAAGAAGTAGCTCAAGAATCCAATCTTCAAACTATGCGATAGAAATCCATCTACGCGATCAGATTCAACATATTATTTCTTTAAGTTTCTTTACTTTTCTTTGATTCTTAAAACATCAACACGTGACCCAGTCACATCATGTATCAAGAATCTCATAATATAAACGTAGCAGAGTTAGATAGTGGACTTTACCTGAAGTAGAGTCAAACTTATTGACTTTAACATCCTTAGGTAAATTTGGCAGCTTCGCAACCAATGCCCCTTCCTTGGGAAATTTAAAATATGGACACTTTGGTAATGGAACATGGGACTATCACATACTTAGCCTTTCTCTTTACCATTTGGTCAACCAAGTTGACTATGGCCGATCCCTTTCCACAGGGAAGAGAGAGCTTTACTAGATATCCAATGTCATCATTGTCAATGTCCATAAAGTTTTAGGAAGTTGATCTTAGCAACTAGATAAGATCATTAAGGGTCTTGTCATAGTCTATTTCATAGGTGTTCCAAAAGAACTCACTATGTGACTTAGAAAGTAGTTGTACCACCAACTTTCCCAAGACTTTGACACCCAACTCTCCCGGCTTGTCAATATATGACTATATCTCCAAGATGTGACCGCATATAGACCTTTACTTTCCAATAGGGCTTGAGTGACCTTAAACTTTTCAAGAACTTGTGGGTTAGGGAGAATAATTGGAGAAGGTGAAAGAGGTATGATTTCCATGGGACATCATCTTCATTTAGGAAAGCTTGTTTCAAGAGATTTGGGAAGATCATAGATGTCTAAACCAAACATCTTTTGGGAGATATTCAAGATAGTTGATCTAAAGTCCTCAATATGACACCCAATATAAAATATTAAGGCTAGGGCCCAAGAAACTATTTGATAACTTAGAAGAGGTATGCCGTAATCCAAGCTATAAAATATTTGAAGGTAGGTGAATGACGATTCACCAATTTCCACCATGAAAAAAACAAAATAAATTTATTAGGTTTTTTAATTGGATTTGAAACTCCTAGATATTTTGAGATTCATTGAACTGTTCAATGGCATGTTTCAGTCTCGAGTGTGCCCTTCAGGTTTTGTGACTGGGATGCCGAGGATCACAAAACAAGGTGTGAATAACCATCCAAATATACTTGGTACCCTTAAGTGTTTACCCCTCAGTCGATGTGCCGATTAACCACACACGCTCCATCGATACTATGATAAACATTAAGTTACCCTTTGCCTACCTTGTTAAATATGAGTTAGTGTGCTGGTTAACCACACACGCTCCACTAACCAAGTTAAACAAAGTGCAAAGTGTAATTTCATGGATTAGCACCTTATTCACATTTTCCTAAGTAACTAAGATTGGGTATTTATAAAAGGTTTAGTTACTTAGTATTTATCATTAATACTTTTAATGAAGGGAGAACTATAGTCCTTGTCCTACCCTTTCGGCTAACGATCCTCCACCAGTCAAGGAAAGCGGTGGGTGAGAGTGGACACCCATTAAGTTGCCATTTTATAGGCAACAACCTTATACCCCCCTTATAGACCGGCTTCGTGAATAAGGCCTACTAACGGTAAGACTGACTTGCTCTTATACATATATATTATTATTAACTTATAATATTATAAAGTATAAGGGTTGAATTTTAACTTTTAAAATTCTAAAGGGCTAACTTGGAGTTAAAGTATTCATAAGAGAAAACTTTTCAAATTCCAAAACTTGAGGGCAAGTTTTGAAAATATTCAAAACTAATTAATTCCATAACTTATGTGTTTAAAGTAGTTTTAAATAAAAAACTCTTGAAGTTCCATAACTTGAAGACAAGTTATGGAAGACTTTAAACTTAATAAAAGAATGTAACTTTTCTTTATTTTATAACTTATGGAATTATTAAGGTTACACACTTTATTCTTTAATGAAGTGACTCTTGAACCTCCACAACTTGAGGACAAGTTATGGAGTCATAAATACATTTAATGATGACAAGACTCTTCATTTTTGGTAACCATTGCCAACTTTTATGAGTTTTATGAATCTTAAATGTGTCTTTTAATATAACTTGAGGACAAGTTACAAAAACACATTTTAGCGTCAACTCTTAGATTAAAATGGATCAAACACATAATCAATTAACTTTTCTATTAATCTAAGCAACTCATAAGAACAAGATAATTCAAATCAAACTTTTTCATGTAATTAGTCTAAACTCTAAACTAATACAAAACATGAATCTATTGACTATTATCTTTGAAATTGGATTAGCATGAACATTACCACATCAAAATCAAGTTTATAAGTCCAAACACATCTTAGGGTAATGTTCCTAGTCCAATTCCAGCCAAAAAAGTTGAATTTATGCTGTTTGGGGGTCCAACTCGTCGAGTGCATGAACCAACTCGGCGAGTTGGATCGATTTGATCACTTTTTAGGCATGGACTCACCAAGTCTCCTGATGGAGTCGCCGAGTCTGATGATCAGACAGCAACAACTTCTATTTTTTTAAGCAGTTTTGCAAGGATAACAAGAAAACAAGCCTAGGCTCTGATACCACTATTGGGTTTTGAGCATTCTAAGACTCCTAAGTGTACATGCAACCCTAAATACCTTGGATCTATGTTTTCTCTATTATACATGCAAATATGAACATCCAAGGTATTATCCTAATCTAGCATACAAAACAATGACTATAGCAAGATAGAATACATACCTCTTTGATGTAGAATGTATTCATGAAGCTTGAGTGCCTAGTGCCTCAAGTGTGACACCTCAAATGGTTCACAGAACACCAAATACACTTGGAATAACTTGAGAGAATTCTACACTTCATGAAAATCGGCTAGCCCCATCACTCACTCATAGTGGCCGATTTTCCCAAGAATATGATCTTTATATAGTGTTACAATTAGGGTAAACCCTTAATTGTCATGGCTTTCCATTTCCTTGGATCCATGGGTTCAAATACACCATGGAGCATCCATGGAGCATCCTATGAGTTTTAACCCAACTTGATAATCCATGGAGCATTAGCCCACTATACAAGTATGGATGATTTACACAATCAATCCATCACTACTAGAAAAACAGCCTTTTACGACGCTCATTGCGCGTCGTAAAAGGCTCAGACGACGTGCAAATGCGCGTCAAGGAAGGCCCTGTCATAAAGAGAGATGACGCGCATTTACGACACGCATTTATGACGCGCAATTACGACGCGCGTTTATGACACTCAATGCGTATCAAGGAAGGCCTTGTCATAAAGGAAGACAACACGCATTCGCGTGTCGTAACCTTACGACGCACATGTTAATGACACGCAATGCGTATCAAGAAAGGCCATGTCATAAATGAAGATGACACACATTTTTGCGTATCGTAAATTTATATGTTTAAAAAAAATAATTTATATATTTATTAATTTTTAAATTAAATTTGCATTTAATTTCTCATAATAGAAATAAAATACCATATACAAAAATACAATCCATTGCATAATATAAAATAAAATTTCATACTAAAAAAATAAAATAAATTGCACAAATATAATGTCATACAAAGAATCATTCAAATGTTAAACAAAAATAATACATTGCTAACATGGGTTATACATTCCTGTAAAACTAAAAAGTAATCATACAACTCTGTTTCTTACTGGATAGGAATGCCAAACATGATTACAAGTCTCCCTTAATCTTGATTACTCACCTGCTTAAGTAGAATGCTATTGTTGAGAAGGTTACCTAGCAACAAAGAAAAACACAACACCTCTCCCACAATCACAACATCATTTACAGAAAAAGGGTTGTCAATTACTTTAATTAAGACTTTCATTTAATCAAAAAAATATTAAATAAAAGGGTGAAAAAGATAACTTACTTTTGATAAGTTGATCTCCCTTAGAGCAAACACAGCTAAAGCATTGAACAAGACCCTAGGACCTTAACGTGTGGTGTGGTTTACAATTTTTTAAAGCACCTTCCCATGTGACTCTTAATTTTGAGATTATTCTCCTCCCAAAACCTTTCCTTTTGCTTCTTCTTCTAATCGATGTTGCATGCACAAAATTCGTATCTAACCCGCGCCAATGGCGCGAGAAACTTCTACTAGTTTTATATATAAATATATATATAAGATATAGTTTCATAATATAAAAAAAGTTAGTTATGTGTACCTTACTAGAACGTAAAAAGAATACCTGCTCATTAAAAAAGTGTGTTGAAACAGAATTCAGTGAGTACGAGCTCAATTTATAATCTCTTTGCATAGCCTGCAGAAAATAAGATAATGAATCAAAACCTTATAGTTATCCCTACATATCAACTTACTTGTTCAATAACATTTATTAGAAGAAATGACCTGAAGTAAATCAAACTGAACTCTCCTTTCCAATGTAACTTCTTTACTTTCCCTTGTACCATACTGTCTGCAACGCAAAACCAATATTAGAAAAATTCAGCATCATGAAGACCTTTCTTTATCTTAATATAAAAAAAGTTAGTTATGTTTACAAATATAACTAAGCATATGAATGGAGAAATGAACTAACCAAATATAAATGTATCTAGTCTAACAAGATTTTAATGCTGGAGTTTAGCAATAAGCATAACCTCAATTTTGAACTCTTGCAAACCTTGTCCAGAGAGGCTTGACAACCTCTTCACTGCAATTTCTTTTCCTCCAGGAAGCTTACCCTATAATAAAGCACTTATAATTGGCTGTATTGCGACCTCTTGTGAAGAAAATTAAGTGAAAATAGGCCCAAAACCACCTTACCTAAAACCAGCTCAAAGTATGTGAAAAAGTTGATTACTTTAGTAAAGCTTATAGTTAACAGGGTATCAGGTAGGGAGTTTAAGCTTATGGGTTAGTGTGTACCTCAAGGATAAGTCAATATAAAGTCTCAAGAAGAAGGATAAAAAGGTAAATGTTGTGAAGGGTATATTGGTCAAAATGCTTTGAAGAAGGCCTCAAGGTCTGTGACTATGTCTCAGGGACATAATCAAAAGGATTTGGATTGCTTTTAGTGGTAACTATAAAAGTAAAAGAATAAGAATAAGCTCACTTAGGTGTAGACACATATATGAAATAGAAAGAGACAGGATCAGGTTTGTACACCTAGTAGGTCACCCTCACATTCTGCCCCCAATAGTTTCATGTCCAAATAGAAGGAAAAGTTCTTAAAAGTTACCGTGTTTCCATTTGTGTGAAGATATGTAGGATATTGGATATATATATATATATATATATATATATATATATATATATATATATATATATATATAGAGAGAGAGAGAGAGAGAGACTTACCCGGTCCTGATCCTTGATAAGCATAAGAAATGAGGAAATTTCAGGGTAGAGGACCGCATCGATCTTCTCTGGTCGTTCAACTATTGAATACTTGACCGCAACAACAACCGTTGCCCTGGTGAATGCAGCAGGACTAGTTGTTCCCTCTTAAAAAAATTTATATTAAAAACAATTACATTTTATTAATTAATTTAAAAAATATTAAAGGAGGTTATATATATATATATATATATATATATATATATGTATACCTTGAGGGCAGGAACGAGTTTTGAAGGCTTGATGAGGGCAATTTTTCATAACACTTTTGGTCCCTGAATCGACTAAATTTATGAAAATGACCATTTTGCCCACTTTATCGCTTCTGTCTTTAATGGTCACGGTGTATAATTATACCCCAACAGCAATCCATCTCTTTTCTCGAGAAACCCTAACCAGATTCAACCAAATCCTATATAAATCAAACCAACCCAAAATCAAAGTTAAAGATCTAACACCAAAATTCAAAACCAAATCAAAATGTGCCTTTATTTCGTCAATTCTTAAGAGGCTACTCAATCTGAACCAAACAGCAGAACCTAAAACCAAATCCATTCTTTTTTAATTTTTGTAACTCCAAAAATAAAATAAAAAATAGAAAGCTAACCTGTTGCAGTTCCCTAGTTGAAAGCATTTCCAAGAGAAAAAGTTGTCAGCAGCACTCTCCTCGACTTTACAGAACTGCTAATCTGATATAACCACGACCCAACATATTAAAAAATTAAGTAAGCTTTAATCCAATCTTATAGTCACTGAATAGCTGCATAATTAAAGTCACATGTAATTACAAAGAACTTGCCTGTTCTACTGATAAATAAACAATGTTTAGCTTATCCCTAAGTTCTGAAACCTAAATTTGCAAAAAGAACAGTAAAGTTAAAATATGGTAAATATAAGAAAGTAGGAAATGCAAAGAATAGTATCTCCTGACCTGTGTACTAAACTGCAACTTATAAGAGTAAACTATGAGTTTAGCTTCCAAACGTGGAACTTTCATTAGCTCTAAGAAGATCTGTTACAAAATAGCAGATATTAAAATTTTAAATTTTGGTCCCCAACTTCACTGGCATACTAATGATATAAATCCAGAAGACGGGTATTATGTACCTGTTGACAATTTCCAGAATTATCGGGTTCCCCTTCATATCCCTAAGAATATATATAAAACGTAAGTTATAGTATAAATAAAAGATGTGGGTATGTAATGTAATGTAGAAATGTAGAATGTAAATACGCCTTAATTATTTCGTGTTTCCTTCTGCAGTAGCACCACTTCCATTTAGCAACAGGTATGTCTCTTGTTTATCGTCCTTCTTGAACTTGGCAATAACATAAGTCCCATAAGAAGTTCTCCGCAGCATGGGTCCGAGTACAAATCTTCATATATCAATGCAAGTGAATCATCACGCCAGCTTATTCCTCTGCTGATATTGAAAAAAAAAATATGACTTTATGCCGAGGGAAAATAAAAAAGAAAAACTTACTCAAAGCGAAGATCAAGCATGTGAAAGATGTTTGGGTCTTCTTCACCTCCAGCAGCCTGTGTGTAAACTATGTCACGAGGAGAAACTTCTCCTTTGACATCACCTCCATCTTGTGTCTCCATTAGCAGCGTACCACAAATCAATCTGTTTGGGAAATCTTCCACATGGGACAGTAAAAGAGAAGGGTCTATGAAATGAAGTAAGTAAATCAATCCCTTGTGCAGCTTTGATTTCTTTATGATGAATGTAAGCTCCCCGAATCAAACAACAAACAAACTCATAAAGACTCAACAAAACTAATGAATTTGAAAAACAATTGTCAAATTTAAAATGCCCAAAAAGGTTCAAACATATCCTCACCTTTACTCGGAGTTCCTTCATTAGGTGAGGAGTCAACAATGATCGGATTGTTGTATGAATTGACCCCTGCACATGCACATGCATTATATTTTAAACAAGAAAATAGCGTCATTCGTTCATATATTTATTAATTATAGTATACAAACAAAAAGTAACTCGAATGTAGCAACAAAGTGTTTGCACTTACCTGAAAGCCACAAACAACAATTTCATCTCCTTCATGAAGCACACCATTAACCAAAACCACATCAATGGTTGTTCCAAGGTCTTCTATCACTTTAACCTCCAATACTGCACACTACAAAGATTTTTCATTCCAAGAATTAGTAATCAGAACTCTCACAGATGGAATAAAGGTGGAATTGGAAAAAGGAGATATATATATATATATAGACCCACACACACACACACACACCTGAATATCACTGCTGTATGTAAGTTTTTCAATCATTGTCTTCTGAGCCCATTGGACAAGTAGCAACAACATCTCAGGTATGCCTTCACCACTGTTTTGCCCCAAAAAGCAAAGATTTTGTTCAAAGTTCAAAACCCAATATTCAAATGGTGTGTGAACAGTAGATCTCATAAAAAACTACCTGATAGCACTTGTGGGTACAATACTATAAGTATCCCCTCTGTCTTTTTTCTTGCTGTACAATTCGGTATTCAATCCTTGCTCCTTGAATTCTGTAATTATCTGAAGTCACAAAGCACAAATCATGAGAAAGCCAGCAAGAAAAGAAAATAGATGTCCGGTGTTGGCATCGATTATGTGAATTGTAGCACCCTGTTGGCCATTATGTCACAACATGTCAACTTTTCCATCCTTACCCATCTTATTACCTCCATCTTTACATAGCCAAAAGATGAAAGAAATTATTATCTTCACTCACTTGAGCATTTCATCAAACACCTCACGTGCACTCGATCATTTCACTTTAAATTAAAATAAAAACTGATAGAAATCCCATCAACAAGTAGATAACACAATCAGGTAAGTAAAGAGATGAATTTAGAAAAAATCATTCCTGGGAATGATGAAGTCAAATGCGATGATCAGAATTCGTGGAAAGTAAATGAATAGATGCTGATATTGGAGTTTAAAAGAGAGTTTACCTTGGAATGTTGAGCATAGATGAAAACAGATTGATATAGGAAGATGATAACATTTATTTGAAGGAGTCGATAATTCTTCCAGCCTTGATCACATGTCAATCGGAGTTGAGGGCTTTAAGAACTGGAATCGGACCATATTTTGTCTGACATTTGTGTGCATAATACTCGAAATTCAGAAACCCTAGATGTATAAACCATGCTTCGTGAACCCCATAGAATCGAACCTATCAGTTGTTGTGGAGGAAAAAGGGAGGGGGGGGGGGAGAATGAACTAGGGTTAGAATCGAACCTATCAATTGTTGTTACCGATTTTAGGGTTTCACATAGAACAAGAAAGAGGTGGTGATGGAGAAGATGGTAGGGCGGCGATGGATGGTAGGAATGGTGGTTATGGTCGATTGTGTTGAGGTTGCAGGTGGTGAGATGTAGCTGTGACAACCATGGTGGTGGTATGGAGGTGAACTGTAGAGAGAGAGAGAGAGAGAGAGAGAGAGAGAGAGAGAGAGAGAGATGGTGGTGAGTCTGATGAGGTGAGCATTCCTGTGGAAGGAGGAGATGCAAGCGGGGTTTTTAATTTTTTGGATTTCATTCCCCCCAAAAAATGAAAACACGCGCTAATAGACTAAAATTATAAAGCGACAAGGTAACACGGCGCGCTTTTTAGGATAGGTGCCCTCCGTGTTTTTAAATTTTTTTGTTGGACACTAATTTTAAGGCGCTCAAAAATGCGTTTCCTCTATCCTTCAAATTTTCCAAAGCTGACATTATTTTTTAGGGCACGCACAAATGCATATCCTCTGTTAGCGCGCGTCATTGTTTGCGCGTCATTAAAGGGCAGTTTTCTAGTAGTGCATATATTTAATTAGTCTTCTTTTGATCACTTAATTAATTCTTGATCAATAATAATCAAATAATCCTATTAATATATTAGAACTTATAATATATTAAATAATCCTTAAGTGTTATTTCTCTCGTTATAGACTATCCAAATGCATGATGCCATGCAACCCAAATGGACCATGTCGGGTCGGGTCAAGTCTTACCAATTATAGTTATGGACTTAGACATTAATCCAACAGACCTTTGGATTGAACTTGACGTACTGTACGAGTGGTACTTCGGGGTTTTTTCGGAAAAGAGAAGAACTAAGAGGTACTCTACGCATGAGTACTTCGGTGTTCTGATATGACGGCTTCGCTGGAAAGGCAATTTCGAAGAAAGAGATGTACGTATGAAGCTGGTATGGTGTGGATCAAATTGAAGCTAGTTGTATGATAATGTCGGAATCATACAGAAACTTAAAGATAGTAGATTTGAACATAAGACATTTACAGACAATAACAACTGTGCAACCATCAACAAATTTATAGTACTTCAGACTTACTACAAGGCTATTGCTGCGAATAAGGTATACTACGAAAGACAAGTATACGCAACACGAGCATCCCTATACCGATAGGATCTCGCAAAAGGTAAGACTCTAGTTGCACTAGTTTTGGATGGTTTATAAGTCTGTTACAACAAAATGCCTAATTTACATTAACGAGGGTCCGACGTAGTTTCTCCTGCAGTTGTGATCCTGAGAATCTTGCCATCTGCGCCAGAGTTCTTTGCTATAAGACAATCCTTCTTGAAGTGCCCTATCGCACCGAATTGGTGGCATGCCTGGCTAGCACTAACATTAGTGGTGGGAGTGCGGTGTTTAACCAGTTTTATGTGGACACGGGTGCCTTCCTCATTACTCCACCTTGGAAAGTGCTTCCTAAAGCGTTCGACTTTATCACTACTTTTGTGTGTAGGGTTGGTTCCGATGACAGGTACTTGAGTGATGGGTCGTGCTAGTGCTCCATAGTTATGAGCATGGTGCCCTATGTTTAGGCAATTGCAACATTGCATCTCATGGCAAGCCTCATGATAATGGAAACTACACTTATCACACTTTTGGAGTTTTCCCTCGTATGGCCTGTTCGGTACTGGGATGATAGGGGTTTCCACTTGTTGTTGTTGCATGGTGAGTTTTTGGGATTTCTTGTGTTCTTTCTGGGCTTGGTGCTTTCGTTTCTTGTTCTTTGTTTTTTGGCTTTGCGAGCCTGTGATTGTTACCGTTTGACAACTTCCTGGATGGATACCACGATTGGGATTTTCAACCCCATCGTCGGTATTGCTTGCGTTGATAGCGCTTCGATGCGCAAGAACAACTGTTACGACAGCCATCACCGAAGCTGTAATTGTGGTTTGAAAGGTAGCGGCGTCCATAGGAAAGGTAGAGGTTTCGTTTCTCGGCTGATTGTTTCCGGATGACGAAATGATTCTGTAACACGAAAGATAAGGATTTTGTGAGCGATTCTGGTTGACCCTAGATGTACTTCGATCGTCCAAGTAAAGAGCAAGACTATGTTCTCAAAAGTTTGACCTACATCCCTATGATGCAGTCCTAGTATGGATTGGAAGTGTGTTCACGAAGGTTTGACCTACATCCCTATGAAGCAGTCCTAGTAATGAGTGGAAGTAAGTTCGTAGAATGGTCTCAAGACGTTTGTCGTTCAAGCCGAGGTATCGATGGTTGGTGAATAACAGGATCCAACGACTAAAAGAGACTTGGAAATGTCTCCGGAGCTAAATTGCTATAGTCCAATGACTTGACTAAAGCATGTTTCAGGTATACTCACATGAAGTATGATGAGAGTATTTGAATAAAGAAAATGACCCAAAATTTAGCCGATTGTCAATATCTTTGATATTCATGACGTAAAAGTTAGGGAAAATGACCTTGTAAAAGGTCTTACATCATATCCAGAGAAGATAGTCCTTGACAGCATAAAGACTTAACACTAAGTACTTACAATACAAGACAGTTTCATAGAAAATGCCACATCGGGCGTAGACAGAAAACGATTCCTTTTTAACAAGGAAAAATAAAGTAAATCATCAACTACTAGCGATGGTCATCCCTCTGGTGAACTCTCAGTTCAGCCATTTGACGTTCCATATCAAGCAGGTATCTTTCGTATATCCTCTGACGTACTCAGAGCTCTATGACTTCGGCTCGGGTTTCAGCTAGTGCTTGCAGCATGGTTTCGTGGTCTCTCTTAGATCTCTCACGAGTATGTTCAAGGCTGTTGGTACGAAGGATATGCATCCCTCCATTAGTGTCAACTTCCTCGATACGATGTAGAGCTGTCCTGCCCTGAATTTCGTTTCGGGCAACTCTACGGATCAGGATTGGTAGAACTCTATCTGATGTGCTCCCTTCATTTACATTGCAGAAGCTTCGGTCTCCATTAAACGTCATAGGTTGATCTTGATCTTTGCTCCATGCCTCCAAACATTCGACCCATGGAGGCGTCGGGCCATGAAAAGCCGGACGAGGGTTAGGAATTAGAACGGGAGATGCCTGGGGTAGGTTCTCAACCTCGGGTTCGGAGTTAGCACCTTCCGAAAGGTCTTCATCATGGTGATCATTCACAGGGATAGGATGATCATTCTCTGGCTCTTCTTCAAACCATCCAGCAATGACTTCGTTTGGAAGGTACTGGTTGCCGTGAGGATGGAGTCCAACCATGTTATCTATGTGATAATTAGGGTACGAAAATAATTATTAGACGAAACTATCTAGATAATTATTTAGAAAATCTTCATTAGTTACATCGCTATTTGTGAAGTGCACACCAGTTATATGTAATCGAAACAGGATAGGCCTTCGAATAGTGACATTAACTCAAAATTCACACAGAATAGGGGTAAAGTAAAATTTTCACAGATTCTAAGTCTATAACATCCTAATTACATATAGCCTTAGTGTATCCATTTACCAACTATCAACTTAGTAATGAAGATCCCATTTTAGTTCTCATGTATAAAGTACTTATAGTAACACCAAATACTCCTACAATATTTTAAGTTTAATGTTATGTTCTACTGTTCTCATTGTGGTATTGTTGGTAAGATTTTAGACTTGTTGCAACCACACAACTACACTTAGGCACATGCTATTCAACCCTCGGATAATATAGGTGACCAGGCTATATCTTCCTAGTTTTGACTATATGTCTCTAAGTCCACCTATGTTGCCCAACAATCATAATTCTTTTGTACTATCCTAGTGACACTGATTTTAAAATGAATGCAACACGTATACTTAATTAAATATTTAATTATTTAAAGTATAAACTCTTGGTCAGATTATTTTAATCCCATTGTATTTATAGTCTGTATATCTTTTATGGGTTGATATACTTAATTCACTATAAACAATGCTCTGATATCTATCACACCCTAAAACCAAGAACGGCGGAAATGTTCTGGGGCGGAGGACGTCATGTACAATATCACAACAATGAAAAGTAGTAAACAAGCAACAACATCATCCATTGCATTAATAATATAATGTTAATACAAGTGTGTTCTGTCAAATTATAATAGACACTAAAGAATAAATCAAAATGAAAGATGTGTCTTGAACGAGCACCGTCTTCCCCGAACCTTGCATCGGTACCTGTCTATGGTTAACCTGAGGATACAAGTTATTTTGAAAAGAGTATCAACTTTTAAGCTGGTGAGATCATAAGTATTTTAGTGTCTTAATTTGTATGTAAGTATTTGTATGTATACAAATTGTAAGTATTGAAAATGTATATGAATTATAAGTATAAAAATGTTTTGTAGAACAATTGTACATTTATGAAAAACCCTAGAAATCCCTATGATTCCTACTATTATATAAGGGTGTCTTC